TTTGGAGATGGGTTTGCTCAAGTTTCTCCTCTTGTCACACTCATTATGGCAGGAGTCCCTGTATAAAACCAAGGACCTCCAAGGTTCTCCACTCTGGTCATCTCAGACCCGCTTTGCTCCTGGTGTGCTGAGATCTCCATTGACCTCCAGGCATGAGGGTGCTCTGCGTGGTCTTTGCTGTGCTCCTGCTTTTCTCCTTGGCCATCCCAGGTAAGATGACAACGCAAGGGGGTGAAGAAAGCGGGGCTGACCCTGTAGGCTGGGGGTAATGAGTGCCTGTCCCTTCTCCAGCCTTTGTGCCTTGGGGTGGAGGGAGGTGGTTCTTCTCACCCACCTTTGGCAATGGAGCTCAGCTACCTGTGGCCAGTTCTGGCTGCTCACCTCCTGCTTCCTGCAGCATCAGCATGGATGGGCAGAAACAAGCACTTGAGGACATGATGTACCCAGCCTACCTCACACAACTGATTTGGGATGTGATGAGTGTCACATGGAGAATGCTTGTCTCTTATGTTCATGCAAAAAGATCTTGCTGGTGAGCTACAGTGCTGACATGTGGAGAGGCATGATTTTTAAGAGTTCAGTGGTCCCCCAGCTTAACGAGGACAGAAAGCACAGATCCTATCCTATGAGGGTTTTAACCTGAAGGAACCCTGTACCACCAGCAAGGAGAAAACTTTTGAGGCTCTTCTCTCCTATGATATCTGACATTTTCTCTTATAACCCATCTCTCTCTTCCTTCCATCGCAGGGTATGGGCAGTTTAAGGGCGCTTGTGGTGGGTACTGTTCCTACCTGTGTGCCAAAAGGGATGAGTGGACTTTCAGCCAGGCCTGCGGGAAGATGTACTGCTGCATCCCTCCACCCAAAAAGGGAAAATGATTGTGAAAGTGTCCAGCTGTGAAGGAAGAGCAACATTTTCGATGGAGCTCTCAGCGCTGTATTCATGGTGTGAAAGAGATGGTATTCACTGCTTTGAAGTAAAGATGGGTAAATGTGATCTCTCTGAGCTGTGTGGTTCATTCACCTCCTGGGAGGGCAGCACCAGGTCTAGGTTCTCCCTGGACCGTGATCACAAGTCACCCCTGAAAATCCCAGATATTTTTGATAACCTCAGACCTGTGACACCAAAATGACATGCTGGAAGAGAAAAAGCTTTGGGATTTTCTCATTGCTTCTAAGCAGGGTGGTGGCAAAAGCTGGGAGAGGACCAATTGCCTAATATTGTGTTTCCCTCCTCCACAAGTTGAATCCCAGTTTAGTTTTAGGGGACACAACAGCTCCCAATGCCTCATCAGTCCTGTTCAGCGTCTGCACTGGGGACCTCAGTCCTACTGAAGGGGTAGAGACCAGAGGTGAAGAGCCACAACCTTCCCCTTGCACCCCCAAAATCCCACTCCTGGGGTGCCTCTTGAGCATCCTCATCCCATCCTCATCAGGTTTTGTGGTTCCATGGCTGTCCTGGACACCCTTGAACAAAGCAGGTGACTCCTCAACATAACCTGTGACCAGATTATTCCCTTGGGAGTCACCTTTAAAGGAAGAACAGACAAGGTGGATTTCCTCAGTGTCCCCTTCCTACCTCCTCCACTGTGTGATATCACTGTGTGATAAACCATTCACTCCAGGTTTTCTGCAGGGGGACAAGGACAAGGAGTGATCTGGTGTCAGGTGGCTCAGAGCATCCTGGCAAAGGATGTGTCAAAAAAGGTCAACTGTCTGGTTCATGGAACAGAAAACAGCCCTATTTCTCTGAAACTCTCCAGGAAAAAAGATAATTTTCCATCTTTGGAGCCTTTTAAGCCCAGAAAAAGGCTGCCACACTGGTATTTGTAGGAGTGAAGGATACTGCAAGAGAAGAGAGGAGATAATAGAGGAGATAATTTCTGCAAAGGGAAGAAGATCTGCATCTCCTCTCTTCTGCAGCATCCTCTGCAGTCAGCAGAGATCTTGGCACTACAACCAGTACATGGAGTTGGAGGAAGAGTCATTTCTTTTTAAGGCTAATTTCTGTATTTATTCAAAACTCCTCTAATTGCCAGGGGAGTCTGAACACAAGGTGCCTGCAGACGTGTCTCTGCTGCCAACCAGAGAGGTGAATCCCCTCTTTGTGTCTGTACCTGCAATGTAACCTGCTCCATCAGTGTCCACATAACTGTGTACCAGGCAGTTTTGGGGCAAACAAAAATAACCCAGTGAGCAGCCTTATGCTCTTTATTTTACCTTTAGTACATAGGATAAACGTGAAATTGGATAACTTTTAAATTAAAACTTTATAAGTTTAAAAGACTAACCAAGGAGACAGGAATCCTGATAAAGTTGTGGCAACAGGGGGATTTCTTCTGATATTTTTCTTGGAATGAATCTCTTTCCAAACTAGGTGCACACTGTGAGATACGGAGTGTGAGGGGGTTGACATCATACATAATCACACCTGTATAGCACACACACAATGATAATGCTGCTTACACCTGTATTTAATTCATTCTGTTCTGGTTGACTTGGATATTTCTTGGACAAAGGTATCCAGGTGTGAACAGATGTCCAAGAAAAAGAGAAAACTCATAGAATCGTTTGGTAGGAGAAGACTTTTGAGATCATCGAGTCCAACCGCACCTGTCCACTACTAAACCAGATCTCTGAGCACTCCATCTACCCATCTTTTAAATACCTCCAGGGATGGGGACTCAACCACCTCCCTGGGCAGCCTGTTCCAGTGCCCAAGAACACTTTCAGTGAAGAAATTCTTCCTCACATCCCATCTCAACTGCCCTGGCCACAACTTGAGGCCATTTCCTCTTGTCCTGTCACTTGGTCCTTGGTTGAACAGACCCATCCCCACCTCTCTCCACCCTCCTCCAAGGGACTTGGGCAGAGCCACAAGGTCTCCCCTCAGCCTCCTTTTCTCCAGGCTCAACAACCCCAGTTCCCTCAGCCAGGAACTCAACACACTTGTGCTCCAGACCCTTCCCCAGCTCCGCTGCCCTTCTCTGGACATGCTCCAGCACCTTCATGTCCTTCTTGGAGTCAGGGGCCCAAAACTGGACACAGTATTTGAGATGTGGCCTCACCAATGCTTAGTAAAGGAGAAGGATGGCTCCACTGGTCCTGCTGGCTACACTCTTCAGCCATGACTGGTATAAATATAGTATCTTTTTAATTTCAATCTGTCCATATTATAAATTCTAACTACACCAAGAAGCAATTTCATGTCCTGGAAAGCATCTTTTACAGTAGAAGTAGTTGAATATTTCCACTTTAGGAAACCAGTACTGATCAATTACTGGCTTATAGAGGTTTTTGTATGTTTACAGGGAGAAAATATCAGCTACAGGCTTACTGACCCAGCAGCAGGAGACAAAGGCAGAACAAGTGATTTCTCAGTACTGCCTTTGGTATGTTAAATAACAGAGAAACAGCACTTGGTTTGACTTCCACACTAGGCTTTGTTCAAAGATTTACCCTGGGAGAGCTGCTCTGCAGCACAGATCATCCAGTACTTACACTCCCCCTCTTTGCAGGAGCAACAAGGGATGAAAAGATCACTCCTTTTGTGCTTAATTTCAATAAGAGAGCTCCATAAAAATTAAAAAAAAAAAGAGGAAATTGTTAAAAAGAAGACAAAAGGGACAGGTAAAAGAGGTAAATCCTTGCAAACAGATTCTCTGCAAGCACCGTGGGAGCTATTTAAGGCCACTGCATTGGAGACTCAGAGAAAATGTATGACACCTATTAAAAAAAAGCCCTGAGAAAAAGCAAAAGGAAAAGGTCATAGCAGAACAGTGGGATGAGGGAGGTTGTTAGAAAGAAGAAGCTGGAATAATGTCCAAACATGGAAAATAGAAAAGATAATAAACTGTACCTGACAAAGTGTAAAACACAATAAGGCAACTCAGAGCAGAGAATTGCTTGAAGAATGGACAAAAGGCAAAGAAACATCTTAAAATAAGTCTTTTTTTTCTTTTTTTTTTGGTCAAACACATCAGGATCAGGAAGCCTGATGAAGAATGTGTAGGGCAGGAGATGGTCAGAGAAGTAAAGTTAATAAAAGCTAAAGCCGTGGAAGCTAAATGAAGTATTTGCAGCTGTGTTCACCTTGTAAGAGAGAAGTGAGGTCTTAATGCTGAACCCTCCTTTGTGGACACTGATCAAAGAACTTCTCTTCAATGTAAAGGGGTAGAAGAGAGGAAATAAGCAGCTACAAATCTCCAGCACCCAGACTGTTTTCCCCAAAAGGGGATTTACTTTGCAAAGATGGGGAGATGCTAATATTATAAAAAAACCCAAAAAACCTCCCAAAAAAACCCCCCAAAACCAAAACACAAACTGAAAATGTTCTACGGGATTGTAAACCAGGATTGTACCAGTTACAAATGTAATAACATGGGAAAAAAACAGGAAAATGCTGTCCTAAAAACCTGCTAGAGCTCCCTGAAGGAGGCAGTGGGCTTGAGGACTAGAGAGACTGGGATGCAGGAGACAGGAACCACCACTATAGGTCTGAGTTGCAGGAGAAGGAGGTCATGGGCAGCCCTATGGGGGGTCATTGTTGGGGCTACAGTGGCAAATTTGGAAATAAAAGATCTGGAAAAGAGGTTGAATGGAAAGATGGCAAAATTTGTTACTGGCACTGCGTTGTTCATGGTGATAAAGGTGATGGCTGCAGAAGGACCTCGCTGGTTTGAGTGGCTGGGTCGTAAACTGGCTGATGAGATTCAGAGCAGATCGATGTAAGAGTGATGCACACAGGAAAAATCAAATTAATTGTGTCTGTCCAATGAATGGCTCTGTGCTGGTTATTTTATTGCCCAGTAAAGACTGTGGATGCAAGGAACTGGGAGAGGAAGAGAGAACAGGGAATAGCAGCGTTACACTTTATTGCTTGATAAATATTGGGAATTTTAGCCAGAAATTTTAGGATTCTTTATTTGCTCTTTTTTGATTTTCCCATTTCAGGGAGAAAGTTTTCACCTCCTTTTAATGACGGCTAAAATTCCCATGCGAGAAAAGGGAAGAGTTGGAGGCAACGAGACTCATATGTGCCATTCGGTTGGTCTGTTCAACCAAGGACCAACTGACAGGACAGGAGGAAATGGGCTCAAGCTGTGGCCAGGGCAGTTGAGATGGGATGTGAGGAAGAATTTCTTTGCTGAAAGGGTTCTGAGGCATTGGAAGGGGTTGCCCAGGGCAGTGGTGGAGTCCCCATCCCTGGAGGGACTGAAGAGTTGTGTAGACATAGTGCTGAGGGACATGGGTTAGTTGGGGACTTGTCAGTGTTGGGTTCATGATTGGACTCCACGATCTTAAAGGGCTTTCCCAGCAATTCTAGGATTGTGTGATTCAGAGAGCGAAACCTGAGCTCTGGTGAGCCTTTAACCTCCCTCTTATCAGGGAAGCATCAACTAGAAAAAGACCTGATGGGTCATTGCTTTGCTGTTTATACAAACCTCACTCAACCAGAAAGGTCCACGTTCCGATGCAAAAAATACCAGTGCAGACTCTGCCCCCAATTGCTGTCTGTGATTATCTGGGGTACGAGTGGCAGAGAAGCAGATGGGCATATTAACATGAATCATTGGACCAGACGTTTTCATTATGCCTGGCATTCCTTTTCCTTCCAGGGCAGATGTACTGGCTGTCACTACAAGACAAGACAGATCTTTAAAATGTATAGTCCCAGACAATATGGTAACGCCAGATTTGTGTGGAAAGTGGTTTTTTTTGCTGCTCTGTGTAGCTTGTTTCCTTTAAAATGTTTCTGCAGGACTCATTATATTTCACTGAATATAAGATATAGAGGAAAACAGTGTGTGTGGGGAGGGAAATAAAAAAACCCCTTACAACTGGGATCCAATTTATTATCACACTGCAGCTTCCAGAAGCAGGGCTCCAAAAAATATCCTTTCTTTTGGAGCTGAAATTTATGTTGGTGTTTTAATTGCTAGTTACCATAATTCGTCAAGTTATTCTAGCTGCCAGGTATGAAAGATAAAGAGCTTTTCCCCAAATACCTGTCCTTTCAAGATGTGGAACACCATGAAAGCTTCACGTGAGAAGGGTGAATAAATGATCGCATTAAAGTGATGCGGTTTTGGGGATGAAAATCAGCAGTAATTTCATGATCACTTCATCATTCCACTCCTGCAGATGCTCTATAGCAGTCTACAAAGATGAGGGTATCTCTGCTGTGTCACTGAAAAATATGGTTCATTTTCCAGATTTGCCTCAACCCCTGTGAACCACAAGTTTTAAGGCCCCTGATCTTTTTTCTTTTTGCTAAGCTCACTGGATAAAGAAAACATATTAGAAAGGAAATACAGATGATGATTGAGGAAGGATCCTCTGCTGAAACACTAATTTCTGCAACAGCTCCAAGGTAACAAGACACATGGGTTGTTCAAGACTTGGACTCATATTCAGCAAATCAAGTCCTGGATCAATGGCATAGAAAACATCCTAGAAGAGATTATTAACATTGGCCTAATTTTACAACATAGAGTACTACAGTTCCTCCAGAGATGGTGAAAAGGTTTATTGACAACCCCAAAGTTCATTGGGAGGTCAGAGAAGAAGCTACCAGAGATATGTTAGGTTCCCTAAATTTTTCCTCTTCTAGGAATGTCCAAATGGGACAAGTAGGAAAACAAAACAGACAGTTTGCAGCCCGTTTTCCAGTCTGAAATCTGCTGCTCCACGCAGAGATCAGCCACCATCACGCAGCTGGTTCCTTCTTACCAACCCCACCATCGCTGATGGAATAGTACCTTCTAGCAAAAAACATCCATTTTCTGGCCAACTGCTTTTGCTCAGAAATTTTCAGGGTACTTCCAGACACACAGGAGGTTGTGGAGTCTCCTTCTCTGGAGACTTTCAAATCCTGGTTGGACACGTTCCTGTGTGACCTACTGTAGGTGATACTGCTCTGGCAGGGGGGTTGGACTAGATGATCTTTTGAGGTCCCTTCCAATCCCTGACATTCTGTGATTCTGTGATTTCTTTTCACCATTGCATTTATCCATTCCCCATCCAAGGTCCACAGAGGTCATGGGAAATTGTTTTGGCTTTATTCAAGCTGTCTGTATATTTACTGGAAGAAGAGGTGGAAGATTGCCACGGATCAGTGTGGGTTTATCATGCTTGCATGTAGCTCCTTGAATGCCTTCAGCAACTGCTGGTCATTACTGGGTGGTCTCTCAATGCTACTTTTTAGGTCCCTCCACCTACGTTTTTCACTTTCAATGTTTTGTTTCATTGTGTTCCCTTAATATTCTTGAGTTTCTCTAACCCTGTGACCCTTTCTTCCCATAATCCAGGGACACCTTCAGGTGCTACAAGGTTTCAGGAGACCTTCACATTACCAACACTCACAAAACCACAGCTAGGACACAGGAACATGAAACAGGACATCTTTAAAAGGACATGTAGACAATGAGTCTATTTTCTATATGGAAGGTACCTATGGTGACAACATTGGCTGAGACAGATGAAGATGGAACAACATAGCAGAAAAAACTGCTGCAAATAACACGTTTACAGACCCTGATAGGACTGCTGTGTCCCCACAGCAGGCATCCATGAATGATTCCAATATATGTTCTTGTTGGTGGTCTCAGCAAAGAAGCCTTTAGGAACTAGAGGGCAGAAACAATGCTCTCCCAAAGATCCTTCCAGAGAAGGCTTCTGGGAGATGCTGAAGTCATAGAATCATAGAATCATAGAATGGTTTGGGTTGGAAGGGACCTTAAAGCTCATCCAGTTCCAACCCCCCTGCCATCAGCAGGGACACCTTCCACTAGACCAGGTTGCTCAAAGCCTCAGCCAGCCTGGCCTTCAACACTTCCAGGGAGGAGCAGCCACAGCTTCTCTGGCCAACCTGTTCCAGTGTCTGACCACCCTCACAGTGAAGAACTTCTTCCTAATATCTCATCTAATCCTCCCCTCTTTCAGCTTAAACCCATTTCCCCTTGTTCTGTCATTAACTGCCCTTATGAAAAGTCCCTCCCCACCTTTCTTGTAGCCCCTTCAGGTACTGGGAGGCCACTATAAGATCTCCCCGGAGCCTTCTCTTCTCCAGGCTGAACAGCCCCAACTCTCTCAGCCTGTCCTCACAGCAGAGGACTCGTTCTAACAGGTCCATGTCTTTCTTGTGTTGGGGGCCCCAGAACTGGACGCAGTGACTT